TTCCGGATGGTCGGTATTTCGTTCCCATTCGTCAGGGACCCGGATTGCAAGGTCTCACTAGTCGGCGGCGAATTCGTAGGGCAGCAGGTGGACTCGGGGAGACGGGTTGGTTCCACGGAGCTTCCTGATATCACATTCCCCACGTGAAGCAGTTGTTGGCAGTCACCGCAGGTCCCGTCCTATCCGGGGCGGATAGACGGTCATCAATCAACTCATTCCGTTTGTGAGTCAATATTGAATGTAGATGGGACAAGGTAGGTAGGTGGTATTTAGTTCAGGTATGCGTGTGTGAATGTACGGAGCAAACTGGGAGAAATCTATTCCTTTTTTGGACCTTGCCTAGTCCTTCCCAGCTTCCATTCATCGTACATAAGTATCTCATGAAAAAATAACACGTGCAAAAACAAAATCCGAGATGCAAATGGGGTTGTGAAGTTTCGTAGATGGCGAATTGAATGGGCGGTAAAAATCCAACTCAATTCCCCCCTTCACAAAACTCACTTGTGTTATAGCGAGCGAGCGAACTCAGCTCCGATTTCTCTTCTGTACCCGTCCCCCCCCCCCTCCCCTTCAAAAAGAAAAAGCGCGCCTATTCCGACCTTTACAAGGGTCTGAAGCGAGATTCCGCGCCGCTTCGTCTCTTGATCAGAACAAACGTTCCTGGTCCTTACCCCCCCATCCTCTGCCTAACTCCATGTTCCCAAACGAACCCCTGGGAAGATGTCAGAAGAATCAAACTTTCCTCTCCCCGCCCAGATTCGCCCTCTAGCTCCAACATTCACCCCCTCATTCCTTCCCCAAAGCCTCCGGATCCGTCTTCGGCCGTAACTAAGATTCTTCAATCTAACAGTAGAGGCAGTTTCATGTAGATGAAGTGGGATGTGTGAGAGATCGTTGGGTTTTTTGGTAAGATGGTTGTCGGCTCCGAGCCTTTTTCTCCAAGATACCCAGGTCCGAGAAGATCTGGGAGCGTCCGTCGCCAGGAAGCTTAGCCAGAAGCGAACGTGGTTGATAAATCTTGTCCTGGTTCTGGCCCCGGCCTCGGAATAAGCTTCTTGTCCCCCCCCCCCCCCCCCCCTCTCGGCGGAAAGTTGAGGTGAGAATGAGACGGACGTTTGGGAATAGAGCCCCGGAGGTCGGTGGTCGGTGGTAAGTGGCAGCCGCATCATCAACCCCCGACGTCCGACCTAAGAAGATCTGGAATCTTCAATCCCCCCAGCCGGCTTATCCGGGCCCGTCCATCAAGTTCATCCCAATGCCGGACTCCGACGCCGTCGCTTCCGCTGTAAACATGTGCGTCGACCAGAGGGCCATCGGAGCGGCCTTGCACTAAACGTGAACTCCCCATGAAATTCGCAACCCATTACCGAGGGCATTCACTTCACATGGGAAACATGGGCGGGCCCGAACCCCCAGGCATCCCCTCGAAAATCTCCCCGAGCCCACTCATCCCGCTCAACCACGGATCCTGCGCCATTACATACCGCATCCCGTTGCTCAAGCTCCCCGGGCTCGTCCCGAATCCCGTGGTGATCTCCTCGAGTGATAAATCATTCGTGAAGCCCGGATCGAGCCCGAAATCTTGCAAGTCGTTTGTCCAGACGGGATTCAACCAGGGTGCCACTGTATTAGGCCCTGGCCCTTGCTCTGTGGCACCCGCACCCGCGACCGTCGTCGTCGCCGTGCCGCTCGACGCCGCTGTCCCGGGCCCGGAACCAGGTCCGTCCATCGGGGTAGGCGTCACGGCGCTGGGATCGTAGAGGAAAGATTGGCGTGACGGGGGCGGGTTCCAGAGTATGTTATTCGCCGCGCCACCGCCGCCGGAGCGATCATTCTGCGTGGCGATTTCCGACAGTAGGTGAAGAGGCGTGTTGGCAGCGGGATACTCCTGCATCGGCGGGTGCTGTTGCCCCCTATACGCCCGTTGCTGCGCCTGCTGCTGCTGCTCATCAGCGACAGTGGAAGCGGGCGTTGCCTCCGGCCGCCTCGAAGACGACTGTGCAGCAGCAGAAGCAGGCGTTTCGGACCGCGAATTTGGACCCTTGAATCCAGCAGCAGCTGCTGCTGCTGCTGCTTCCGCGGGTCCAGAAGGAATACCCGCAGCAAGCCCCTTGCTCTGCTTCAAGAACCAACTCCTCAACATAACTAACACAATCAAGAACTTGGCCGCCGGCCGGCTGCGATCATCCGATGCAGCAGCACGGAACTTCTCCAGCAACGCGTCGAGGTAATACTCCACCTTCATGTTATCTTTATCAATCACCCTCCCTAGCTCTGACCCCGGCGCTGTGGCGGAAAAGTACATTTTGATGAGCACCACGACGGCATACGCCACGCGAACAAAGTTGAAGACGGGCAGGCAGCGGATGCTGGGTACCTCCATTGCTAAAAAGGCCTCAAATATGCCGTCAATGGCTGAGAGGCATGCTGACAGGGCGTTGATGTGCGAGGTTGTCAGGGTTAGGTTGGTGAGCATGCCGTCTTTGAGGGTGGCTGTGTCAAAGGGCGGGCGGATGTCGTCCATTTGGGTGTGGAGGGCGATTTCGTGCATGTAGAGCGAGAGGACGTGGAAGGACATTTTGAGGGTTGCTTTCATCCGTAGTCGTCAGTAACAGCCTTCATACACCATCATCATAATCATGTCACAGGGAGAGAGAGGAACTCACATTGCATCTCCTCCTTGGGAACGGAAGCACTATACTTCTCCAAATCCCTCTCCAGCATCCTCAACGAATACTGCGTCCTCGAATCCGTAATGTTCGGCACCACAGCCGGGTCGTCCATGGAGAACTGTATGCCCACCTCCTCCGCAAGCCGGTGCGTCCACACAAGATGACAGAAATACTTGTCGCTCGGCGCCGCGTCCGCGCTCGTCTGCAGCGCCTCCATCGACTCGGCCATGAAACTCGTCCATCGCACCAGGTTCGGCCGGTGCAGCGCCATAGAGGTGTTGGCGGCCAGGAAATACGCAGCCAGCCACGCCCGCCGACACTCGCTCGTCGTCGGGTCGGGAGGAGGGGCCCTCTTGAACGGGTGATTGCGCCACTGGTAAGGGATCTGCATCTTCCTGCCCGCCGTGCGCCTTCCGAGCCCGATATCAAGCGCCATCACGGCGCCAATGTGCACGAGCTGGTAGAATTTCAGCTCCTCAAAGTGCTCCGGCGGCCAATACCAGATCACAGCCACCTGCAGCGCCTGCACAATCTCCAAACTCTTCTCGCCCGTAATAATAATCTTCTCGGCAAAGATCTGCATCAGCTCCTTCACCAGCCTCCGCTGTACATTGGGGCTCTCGGAGCTCGACGCCGCCATAATAGCCAAGAACAACAACGGCTTCGCCCTCCTCGTCTCCTCCGCCGTCGCGCCCCGCGGGAACACCACCGCTGGCATATGCGGCGCCATGAGCGTGTTATACCGCTCAAACAGCTCCGCCGCCTTCTCCGCGCTCAGGATCCCGCGCTCCACGACGTCGGCGTAGTCGCTACCCATGTGGATTGGCGGCGCTGGCCTGGCTCCAATCTGTCCCCCGTCAGGTACATCGCTACCGCTCGGCGTATCGTCCCCGCGGTCTGAAAGCTTCCTCTTTTTCCCTGCCGCGGCGGGGGGGGCCGGGAAAGTAATGTGATCAAACCGCCCCTTTTCCGCCGCGTGCGCCTCCTGCGGATCGAGCCCTTCGACAGATAGCCCCGTCCCCGCAACCGTACTCGAAGTCCACTCCCTCGCAAGCCCGTGGCCCCCCCATCCCTTCTTATACGGATTTTCATCCCTCCCCGGCGTAGGCATACTAGTATTCGCGCTCGGCGTCGTCATCGCCGGCGCAGCGCCCGGCGCCGTGGAGCTTCCGCGGGCCTGCAAGCTCGCCGTCAACGCATCAATCTTCTTCTCCAGCTCCGCGACTCTTGAATCCGTCTTCTTCTGCCTCTTGCGCGTCGGCATCGTCACGACGCAGTTCCTCCCTGCCTTCTTGCACCGCTTACACGGGCCCTCGGTATCGTTCGGATCGGGTTCGCATCGCACCTTGAGACCACGGCACGCCTCGCACGCGCGCGGCCGCTTGGGGTCGTCGGGGTTTCCGCCGTGGAGCGCATCGTGCTGCGGTGTCTCGCCGTCGTGGCCAGAGTGAGGTGTCTCGGGGGAGTCGGGGTGGTGCTGGTGATGGTGTCCCTGTCCCAGACCCTCGGAGCTTGTTCCAGCAGCAGCGGCTTCGTTATCGTGGAAGCCGCCGCCGCCGCCACCGCCCTGGGGTGTCCCGCTCATGCCATTGCTACCATTATTGTTCGAGGGCTCCGCGCTTCGTAGTGCTGGGTCGAGAACTGCGGCGCCGTGATCCATTTCGGGCGGAGCTTGGCGAGGTGCAGTGCTGAAAGCCAATATCGGATGATCGGTGACGGCGACAGAAAATACCGACCTTTGTTCGGCGGAGGGCGCGGCGACTTGTGGCCGATGGGTGTGCGCCGACCTTTCCGTCACTAACAAATATTAGTCAGCAGCGTGGACAGCGCGTGTCGTCAGGCAAGAGACATTAAAAAGGACAATCACATCCACATCTCTACTTTGTGGCACTGTTCATAGGTTGCCGCCTCAAATTTAAACATCATTGGTAAAAATGTTGTTAAGCTGAACTAAATATGTAGAATGCTAAAGCCACACCTTCGCTGCATGCGATCCCGAAACCATGAGACGAGGTGCCACTCGCAGCTCATTACCGTCAACGCCATGCTGAGATCTGTGAAACAAAGCAAGCATAAACCACCAAAAACCACATGGGGGACAGCGGCGCCTTGAACAGCAAAGTCTCCTGTGTCCATATGATACAAATTCTGTCACTCAGACTCATTGCTTGATGGGCCGGATTTTCACTTTGCCACCAGACACTCTGCATCAAGCTCACTCCTACTTCGACTCGCGAATGTGAAACAATTGACAATTCAAAGAGGCGTCAGATGTGTGTAGGTGGTGATCGGTATTAAATAGAAGTGGAGCGCTCGGCGCCGGTCCGTATTGGTGTGATATGTTCGGGTATATTGGCGCCATCATGTCGTCCATGCCCCTGGGGCTGGCATTAATAAATAAAACGTGAAGAAAATGTGCAAGGCATGGTATCAACGCTGCGTGTGAACGAGTGGGTATGTTTGCGTAATGAGGGGGTGGAAGCAAGACAGAAGAGACCATGCCGATAAAGGAACGGCATCTCAGAACTGGGTTTCTTCTCGCAATCGGCTCTTGGAGCTTTGTGGGTTGAGACCGACCATGTTGCCCATAAATATGGCACTTTCGCGTCTCTTGTGTGGTTGATCGTATCCTGAAGAGCCGTTATCGTATCCACGAGCCATTTGCTGGTAGTTGTTATTCTGATATCCAGATGGCATGTATTGAGGCTCATATGTTGTACCACGGCCGACGGGGTAGTTTGGTGGTGGTGTGGGAGACTGCCGCGCACTCTGCAGGTCTTGTAGCAGAGGAGGGGGAGTGTTGCCGGTACGTTGCTGGCCAGTCATGGCATCCATCAGTCTCTGACGATGCGGTGATTGACTGGACCCGGCTGATGTAGAAGGACGCGCGTGTTGAGAAGGATCGTGTGAAGGCCGATTCGGAAGCCCGTTATTCATGGAAGGCAGGGAGCCTGATCTCTCTCGACCCGTCTCTCCTTCGGCGAACGAGGACGGCAGCTCATATTGCTCGGGTTCCAAGCCGAAGATACCAAAGTAGTTCTGCAACAGCAAGGCAAATACGGGTGCCGGAATGTTCAGAGTCGGAGAAAATACAATGCCCACATTGCGAACCGTCATCTTGTTCATGTCGGCGTTGTTGATGATCTTGATTAAAAACGCAATCAGATACTTGAGCAGAGTGGCGTTTGCTTGGGGCAGTCTCTGAACCAGTTCGGACACAGCGGCGATCTTGTCTCTTTGGTCTGTCATCTCCGTCACGGAAAGGAACTCAAGGTGAAGGTCCCGGGTGAGTATTGTCGTTGGAAGTTCGCGGAGATACAACTTCAATAACGACGCCACGGCGTGGATGTCATAGTAAGTCTCGTCGGTAACGAGGTTGACGTCGCCTTCAGTGTTGAAGCGCTCGCGAAGCTGCTTGATAACGACGTTTGAGCCGCTCAGACGGAAAATGCCTTCCTCCAGAATCGCGTTCTTGGCGTCCAAGTATTGAATGCATCGATACACGACGGCGGGAAGAGGCACGTTCACATCGACAGGGTGATTATAGCGAACAGCTTCGGCCAAAGGAGCCCCGAAAGCTTGGCGAATAGGACCCTGGTATCCGCCCTGAGGCGGTGTTGACGAGCCGCCTTCGCTTCCTCCAAATAGAGAATCTTGACCATCAGATGACGATCTCGTCTTGGGTCCAAACCCGAAGAAACTTCGTTTCTTCAGTTTCTTCTCTTCGTTGACGGGGACGCCAAGACCTGCCCTATTGCCCCATTGAGCAGAGTCGGCAATAACTTGCATGTCCCGTGGAGCGGAGATCATCATGGACGGCTGCGAGGACATTCCCATGGGTTCAACAGGATGGTTGTTCTCTGGTATGTGTCCAGCATTTCTGGGACGCGCAGGTCCGCCGTGGTGAGGAAGGTCGCCTTGAGATGTTGCGTCGTACCTCACACCGATCAGGCTATCGGACTCAGTAGGCTGATGATGGTGCTGTGAAGCCGTTTTCTTGTATCTCTGCTTCTTCTTCTCGGCACGCTCAGCCGCAGTAGCACTTTGGCGATCTTGGGCTTGCTGCCTCGCGGCATGGGCCTCGTCTTCTTCCGGATCCTTATAATCAATCCATCTAAGCAAGGCATCAACCCACTGGTCTCTTTCCCTGTCATTCTCAGCGCAAAGCACATGCTTCACATGGCTGCTCGAATCCTTCTTCTTTGGCTCGAGAATCAGGAATGCATGACGGTACTGATTGTCCATGTCGTCCGAGTTGGCAGACGGTTGCGGTGACTGGTTTTCGTTGCTCTGAGACTGTTTGCCGATCTGAGAGCTTGGAAGTTTGATAGTGCCCAGGTGAGCGCCTCCAGGCGTTTCGTAGTACTTCAGATGCGGTCCGTCGAGGACAAAGAAGCGGGCTTTCCAACCACCAAAGTTCTTACCTCTCTTGGTGAGATATCCGGTCCTGAAAGGGCGGCCGCCGGGACCAGTCTTGACCTTGGCTTCCGCCATGCTCTCCATTGAGCCGGCGTCATCTGCATTGGGTGGTAGTGTGTGGGTCGACAAATACTTGCAAAGCTCAAGGGCACTCGCGGTATCGAGAGGAGTCTCTAGAAGCTCTTCCAAGTAGTGGTTGAGGGCAATTCGCCGCGCGTCGAGCTTAGCAGGCGCATGGCCACTGAAGAGCGACCTCTCTGGTGTCTTTGCAACGAAGGCCGGGCACTGTTTCAGCCTTTGGTCGAGCTTTGCGAGCGAAGCAGAGTCCTTCTCAACCCGCCAAAGCTCGCCAGGTTCGGAACGCGAGAAAATGGCCAGGGTAAACACAGGATCCTCTTCAAGTTGGGTCAAGGACATCAGACTTGCTCGAGATGGTTTCATGCGCGAGGACGCAACTTTGACCTTGATTGTCGGCAAGACGTTCGGCGGTAGGAGTAGATCAGGGTATTCTTCGGTGGTGAAACCCTTGAAGATGCGTCCCCGTTCAGTGGGACTGCCACGACTCTTGTCGCTAGCTGAGTCCCATCCCTTCTTAATAATGTTCAGAGGCTGAGGGCTTTTGAGAACAATAGGCTCCGGGCCTGCTGGTGTTTGAAGGGAGTGACCCGGTGGAAGAGGGATTGGCTGGCGAGGTGGCCGTGGCGACAGAGGTGCAGCAGGAAACGACGACACACTAGGCGCAGGGCTGTCAGATGACGGGTTGCCAAACGGACGCGGGCTCGATGGTAACCCAGGGCTCAGCAAGGGGGCTTCGAGAGTATTTGCACTTAGAACTGATCCCAACGAAGCTGGGGCATTCTCGCGCTGCATCCTCTTCGGAGGGCTTGGCGGCAACCCTGTTGGGGCCTCGGGAACAGCCTCAGTCGGTGATGTCGTCTGACTCTGTGTGGTGCTCTTCTTGGACAAGCTCCTCCTCTCCGCCTCTTGAATAGCCAAGATCTCCCTATCCTGGTCGTCTTCCTCGCGCGTTCTACGACGACCGCGTTGCTCAGTGAGGATTTCGTCCACCTCCAAGATGTCGTCGAAATCGGAGTCAGAGTCATCGTCCTCAGCGACTGGTTGAGCTTGGCTCTGAAGCTGCAGAGGGGCTGGTGGAGGTTTCCGTGGTGGCGGGGCAGGGAACTGTGAAAGTCCTTCGCTAGACGAGGATGCTGGCTCTGATACCACGGGAGGCTTAGGGGGAGGCATGCTCGGTGGCTGGCTGGGTAGGCTCCGGGATGGTGCAAGTCCAAAGTTCAGGGGAAGATCCATGATTTGTTCGTCCTCGTGCTCCCTTCGTGCCGCCTCCGCGGCTTGTTCCTCGGCATCATGGTCGTACTGGTCATAAGCATGCTCATGTGCTTTGGGCATCTCGTGAGACGGGTCCAACAAAGCACCAACAGCTGATGGAGGGCCGTTGGGCTGGTCTGCGGGAGGTGTGATCGGATAGGGAGCCATGGCCATATCCACGGGAGAGTGCTTCTGGCTGTCGGAGTCGAGAGTCGGCGAATCCGGTGCAATGACCTGTCGCTCCTTGGGAGCGCTGACATCGACGGTTGGTATTCCTCGACTGACGGGCATCTTGAGAACCTTGCTGCTAGTTTTCGATCCGTCGGCCCCTGTCAATTCCGGTATTGACATAACTTCTTTGAGTTTCTTTCGATATTTCTCCTTGTCTTTCAAGGCTCGTTCCAGGTCTTTGTTTAGGCCCAGAATCATGGCTCTCTGCTTGTCGACTAAGCGCCATAATTGCGCATTCTGTTGCGATTGCGAGTTCTTTTCTTTTAAAAGATACTGGATTACTGCCTCTGGGCTGCCTGCAGTCTTGATCAATCCCTCAATGTCTGTAGGATCAGACTGATTTCCAGCCGCGCCTCTGTGCGACTGTGACTTTGTGGAAATCGCCGATATGGCCGAGTCCATAGAGGAGTTTCGCGGCGCTCCTTTGCCTGGTTTGCCCCGCGATGCAGCGGCCAATCCTCCAGAAGAAGACATTGGAGATCGGAGGGGGCCTGCGAGAGGCCTAGATATCAAAACAGGTTCGGAAGCGCTTCGGTTATCATTCGTAGGGAGCGGTGATATTCTCGGTCTACTGTGACTGTTTCGTTTGTTAGCTGTGTGACGTATGGCGGCGCGGGGAGGGACAAGAATCGATCGAATCGGGAGGAAGCGAAGGGACGCACACGTACTGTAGTGTGCTGCGTTCGGGCGTGGATGGGCAGGACGAATCACTTTGGTAATATGTCTGCGGTTCTCCTGAAAGATCTACTGGAGAGCGGAAGTCGTCGGTGGGCGTCGTGACTATGTCTGGGACAGTTCGAGAACGGTGGGCATGAAATCTTACCCCGGGTGGGAAGAAGGATGACGATCGAGGAGAGAAAGGGCTCGTCGGCGAAGAAATGGCGGTGCTTTCGTGGAGAGGACTAGGTATTGGGCGCCGAGGGGATCTATAGGGTGGAGGAGGGCATCAGTCAATATGCTGCCAGGCCAGAGCCGTGGATCCAAGTCCCACAATATAGCAGGATAGATCTTAAGGCAGCCAGAGAGTCGGCGTTGAGCGAAAAGTCAAAATTAAAAGAGCCGCGGAGCGCCAAGACAAGTACACGATATCCTCGCAGACCGGGGATCGAGGCAGAGAGAAGTTGCGTTCTCTTTCTCTGCCTTTGCGGTTTGGGGGGTCGGTGGTAGGCGTAAGTGTGGATAGACAAGCGAGCGAGTCGCAGGACTGTCTGTCTGGCGGCGGGCGTGCAAAAGTCAAGGTAAGGTGGTAGGGTCAAGGAGGAGAAAGCAAGCAGCAACAGCAGCGGCAGCAAGAAAAAGCAAGGCACACAGAGAGAGAGAGAATGGGAAGCAGGCAGGCAAACGAGAGCGAAGCAGAGCAGAGCAAAGAGTGGACCGTCGCTCGTTTGGTAATCAGAGCCTGTGGAGGCCAGTGGAACGTACCTTGGAGATGGAGTAAGAAGAGGACCGGTCGTGCTGCTAGGAGTGTGACTGGCAGCGGTAGCGGCAGCGATGCTTGTATTGGCGGTGGTGCTGTTGTTGTTAATGCTTGCAGGATCGGATGCTGGGATTAACAGGCCTGTCGTGGGGCCATCCTTGGAAGAAGGGGAGGAAGAGGAGACATCTGTGACCTGTAGCCGGTGAAGAGGATGTTTTTGGTGAGGGAGGCGAGGGTGATGATGAGCACCAGGGGCGATAGCAGAACAACGAGGAGCAGCAGCAGCAGCAGCAGAAGCAACAGCAGAAGCGGGTGCGTCAACGGGAGGACCACACGTCGAAGTCGTACCAGAAGCATCAGGATCTGAAGTTGAGCCCTGGGCACTCTGAGTCTGGAGCGCAAGCTGCGACATGGTGGGCAATGCGACGGAAAGACAACTGGCCGGCGGCCCAACTAGGGGTGTGTGCAGGGTCAGAGCTTAACGCAGGACAACCTCGCAGCGGTTTCGAGATGCCTGGGTAACCCCGACTGCCGTTGCATGTAGACCGGCCTCTTTCTAGACGGGATGCAGATTGCAGTGTACGGAGTAGGTAGGTATTTTATTTTTGTTTCTCGGGAGCGAGCGAATCCAGCCGGGAAGGGACGCGGAAGGGGAGCGGAGCCGAGGAGTCAGTCGTGCACAAAGCGGAGCAGAGTCGACTCTGATCTCTTCTGATTCGAAAGGGTAGTCAGTCGAATATGCCGATTTTGACTCTGTTGGGTTGGGTTATGGTATTCGAGGTTGTCGTCACGGTTTGCTGTTGTATTGCAGGGCAAGCAGGACGTGTGACGAGGATGTAAAAGGATGAAAAAGAGGTTGTATCTTGGGCGTGGGCCAGAGCAGAGCAGAGTAGATCAGATGAATGGCGTCCTCCGAGTCCTAAGGGAGGGATGGGGGGCCCGTCTCGCGGTGCCGGATATGCTTTGTGAAAGGAATGCTGCCAGCCGGGCGTGGATGAGACAAGTGCCCGTTGTCTTGGGTAGGCGTGCGCGTGTGCGTGTATGTATGTGTGTGGTGTTGTGACGGGGGTTGATGCTGGACGAGAGGACCATTGGCTGGCACAGACACAGAGAGAGAAGCAATTCGGCTATGGATTATTTGGTATCCGTGAGGTGAGGCCAGAAGCAGAGAGTTGAGAGGACGTGGCCGTTGGGGTGGCCGAAGTGTAGGTTTTCCTGATGAACAATGCAGTGCAATGCAACGAGAATGATGGTGGGCCAGGCCAGACAGTCCAGCTTCAAAGTCGACCAGCGCTGGGGGGGAAGGATTTGATGTTGTGTTGTTGTGACGTTTTGATCAAAGAAACCCCTTATTTCCCGTCTTGCCGCTTCCAGCAACTAGCAAAGGGAGGCTGACCTATGGTACCGTACTCCGTAGTGGACGTGGCAGAGGAGGGTAACATTCGAGTCGACCGTCAATAAGACTAGTGGAGAGCCTAGAAGTCTGGATAAGAAGATCAGTATATCATCAGCACAGTCCAGCCAGCCAGTTGAGTGAGTGTATCTGTCGCCAAATTCCATTCCATCCTTCAGCGCAGGTCGGCAGCGGCATTCGCAACCGGACCTTAACAGGAAGGGGGCACGAGGGGGAGAAGGCAACGTACATCTGAAGGTTAAACAGGGTGCCGGGGAATAAGTGGCCGGTCGATGGTGGTGGTGTGTAGTACCCAGAAGCGTGAGGGATGTATGTAGGTATCTTTACACCACCGAATCAGCAACAGGGTACTTGGCAGCCAGAGAGACCAAAGACGACAACCAAACAGTCGTTGTACCCAAGGAGGAGGATGCGTGGGCTCGGAATTGGCTGCAGGTTCGGCCCCCTTGTTGCTTCTGCTGTGTGTTCCTGGTTGTGTGGGTGGGTTCGTGGTTCTTGGTGTCTGCATCTGCCGCTGCAAGGTGTTGCCAGAAGGGGAAGGATGCAGTTGGAACATGGAATACTCTGTGCTAGGTATTCGTACGCTGGCACCCGGTGGACAGGACTGAGGCCTGAAGGCCTGAAGGTCTTCCAAATTCCGTCCGTTCAGGGGGCGACTCGGGGAGAGGGGGAGCAGGGACGACGAGGATGAGGATGTCGAGGAGAATGCAGACGTGACGGTAGACGTGGACGCGGATGTGGAGAGGAGATGAAGAGGAGGAGGCAAAGAGATTGGATTGACAATGGCCACTGGCAAGCCGCAAAAGAGAGGCGATGCACCATCAGCATTGACCTCTGGGCTTCATTTTGCATCTCGTTGTTGGTCATCTGGATCCCTCCCTTCCATCATCCCCTCCCTCCCTGAGCACTCGAGGCTCCCACGCTCTTCGACCTTGAACATGCTAGCATCGGAGCAATTGCTGTATCCTCCCCGATAGTTGTATCCCTTTGGAGTCTTTGGCCCCCAAGGTGGGCGGGAATGACGGTGTCCCATACACGTGCCACTATCATCTCAGTGGGGATGCTTGGTGCGGGGCTTCGAAAATGCGCTGCGTATAACGATGATCCGGGATGACAGTCTGCTAGCGAAGAAAGTCTTCGTCTGTTAACCCTGTCAGCCTTTGACTTTAGTTCGCATGCTAATGGTGACTTGGCCGTTTAGTGTTGGACTCTTTAAGGTTGTGAGAAACGTCTTCATCTCCCAGGACAGCCGGGCTGCCGCTGGTGTGTCAATGGCGAAACCCTCACCCTGAATTTGTTGTTTGTCGTCCATGGCCTTGCCGCCAGAGTGGCTTTGATGGCGTTCTGGACCTTTGCGGCCTGCCTCAGTAAATTACGTCTTGACCAAGATGGTTGTTCATGAACATCTTGCACGTATGTATGAGAAATGCCTAGTCTGAGGCTTGCTCGAGTCACCTGCATACCTTCCTTACCTTATTGAACGTCAAAGTACTTGGGCTTACATAAGGCCATCCCCCCCCCCTCTCAAAGGTACCTTGTAGATTGGTGCAGGTGGCAGGTATGTAGGTGCTCCTTCACGATATCACCTTCCTTTCGAGTCGATGCAATTACTTTGGAAAGTGCCGACCTACCTACCTGGGCAGATTGTCCTTTCCGCAACAGACAACACGCGGAAGTCGGGACTCAATGCAGCCTGCCTTGCTCCTGCCTTTGCCCAGATCGGTTGGCGAATCACCCTGAGCACCTGAGGCTTAAGGGAGGTACTGTGAGGCATCTCTTTCTTGTCCTGGACCATGAGGCCGTGTCGTTTCTGCTTCGACTTCAACCTCTGGCCACGTCTGAATCCCGTCTCCTTTGGTCCTTAGTTTCACTCCCTTCGTGCAGACTACAGACCGTACGATTGAACCAGCAAGCCGGCACCACTAGGTGCCGTAGAAACCTTGCCAACACGGGCACCCACGGTTCCCACGTCAGCCACGTGTGCTAGCCAGCAGCAGCAGCTCGTTGAGCCCGCTAGATGTGGCCCCAAGGCATCTTCAGACACCACCAGTTGTATGTCTGATAGGCTGGAACTCCCCTACTCCCTTCAATAATCGACATACCAACCCAGTCCTTGGTCTGGACTCTCGACCGCTCGGCTCCGGGAAGTAACTCGCCCTCCACAACACAACGCTTCACAGCCATCTAATACTTCACCCAATAGCCTGCCAGATATTCAACAGCCAACATCAGCAACGTACCTATTGCCGTTGCGTAATGTCCCGAATGTCCCGCACTGCTGGCGAGTGGCCATCGGTCATCTTACCTTCTCTCCCGAAACACCGGCTTTCTTGAAACATGTCAGTCACGAGTCCGTACAACAGACATGTCTATCCATACATACAGATCAGTACGAACTACAAAGTACCTACACACTCACGCCAACTGGTTTTTGTCATCTGGCTCTTTGAGATTCCCCGCCGTCGTCATCCGCCACATATGTTTTTCCTGCTTTATCAGCATCGCAACATTTGAGCCGCCCTTGCACTCGGCTCCATCACCCTTCAGGCATCTGCCCATCTCCTTCATCGTGCACTCAGGCTCGTTTTCGGCACTGGAAGAAACTTGAGTCTTCTGATTGGCCAACGACACTCACACTGCTCGACGGCTAAGTCGTCCTCTACATAACCAAATCGTCTCTGGTTCTCCTACGGATATGCTTCCTCCACCACATCCATGCATGCATGGCACGGGTGCCGTGACGCTGTGGGCCACTCTCACACACCCCAGATTCCTAACACCACCACCTAAGGCCTTAATTAATCTCGGAGCCAGGGGTCTTTGCTTGGTTTGCTCCAATCATACCCCTGCGTTCCTGGTTTCTTTGGTCCTCGTCCCTCTTTGAGATCCTCGAGTCCCAGACATTTGATACCTCCACTCCAAAATCAGCACTTCGATTCGGCGACTCCCAAGACCAGGGCTAGAGACGGGAAAGTGGCCCAAGCGGTGCTCTGAGTCTGGGCCAGCCAAGATCGGATGCCCGTCATGTCAACAGAGAGAAAAAGAGAACTGTGGGCACTTGAGGTGGGATCCGTCCGAAACTGGGGTCCTCGCCAGTCACGATTGTCCAGCAAATGCTATCCACATCCTCCGTTTGCTGTCACATTTGACATGCTATTCGCGGCGCGTCCACAGCATTCACTGGACGTGTCACGCTTTCATGGGAATGACAAACTCCACAGCGGCCTCATGCGTGAGCAGGTGTCGGCTGAATCCTGTCCTTGTCCTGTTGCTTCAAACGCATTCTGCCACGTCGCACGCTGTCGCACCCATTGGGAATGTGTGCACCACTACACTTTGAGCCTTCGCTCTATGACTTTGCCCCCCTTTGGCCTAGGCCTGAGGAACCATACACAGACTCCAGCGAGTAGCTAGGCTTGCAGGGTATTTCGCCATACTCGGTCTAGCATGTTTATGTGCCATGCAGGAGGTAGCACCTCTTCTGCAGGTACAGTCACCGCATTCCGTACACACACTACGGAGTACATCGACTGCCAGCAGGGGTTAAAGACTACGCACGATGAGCCGGGAGCTAAGGTGCCCGTACTGGTAATCATCACGGGCGACTTCGTCCCGACGTCCGGCGACTTTGGCCGGACACATCCCGTGCCGTCTTCACCTAGCCGGTGGTTCTCTCGTCACTTGCGCCATCGTGCGGGTGCACAATCTCTTCAGTGTTCTCTACCTTCTAAGAACGGTTATCATCGCAACACAGCTACTAACTGGAAGTTGCCTCGACTTCGACGCGAACAGCCTTGGGCAGTTATCAAACCAAGGCCCCTCAAATCGACGGATTAGACTCGTGGGATAATCAGTTCTCGGAAGGATCCGTGATTTAGTGTAAGAACCTAGAAGAACACCGGAAACTTGTCGAGCCCCTCCAATCTCGAGCTTCAATCGCCAATCTCACTCGTGGCTCTCTAATGCGATTCTTGACTGTTGCTCAAGTCCGAATCCGAGCGCTTGAGGAAAGACAAAATTATCCGGCCATAGATTGCTCGCTACAGCATTCCTACAGCACTCCAGCAGCGCGCTTTTTGCGTGCCTAAACCATGCCTTCGATGACTCGGTGCCGGCTCCAACCAAGTCATGAGGTCACACAACTCGACTGGGCAGCCGCTCAAGCCTCCCACCAGCGCCTTTCAACTACATCTCATCGAAGAGTCTAGGCTTTGAAAGTTTCCAAAGTTGAGACGCCGTTGAGCTCCGGGACAAGCGGCTGTTGATCCTTGGGTGCAAGCATTTTTAGAAAGGGCTTGCAAGACTGGCAACTCGTGAAGTTCTCGGTCTAGACAACATGAACAACTTTGCTGCCAAGTTTGGCCAGGAAAGAGCGGTGTCTTTGCTCCAGACTCTACTTCCACCGATGTAACTCAGAGGGGGGGCGGCAGCTTGCCTTGATTTGAAGAGGCTCATTATGTTTTTGTAGGGGGAAACAAGCCGGTACTCTAATTCGAGAGTAATTCGAGAGGAAACACGGCGAATCGGCGGACCCGCTTGGAACCGGCATTCCGAAGCAAAATGGCAAGACAATGCCCGTCGGCCCCTGAGGCTCACGGGCGCAAGTCATCAGTTCTTTTCCAGATCCGGAGAATCGTCCCCGGTCTTGTTGATAAAGTCGACATTACAGCCCTCGATCAGCCAACGAGAGAGCTCGGAGTGGAACGGAACAAGCAACAGATGGCAGTGAAGAAAGGGGGTCCTTGAAGAGACCAAGTAGATTCTGATCAGAAGCATCAGAAGTCGATGCCAATTTAAACTGCTGCAGCAGTGCACACTACGGCCTGAGGATACACTCTGGCGGCAGTGCAGCTATCCCAGACTGCTGTTGTGGGCGCGAACCAGAAGCGAGTACCAGGAAACCCCCTCTCCAGCGTCGCTTTTTCCCGTAGCGCCTCGGCGGTCGTTGTTCCTGGATCCTGATAGCTGGTGGGTCCAGCAATTTCAATCCATTTCCATGGACCATGAGCGCATTCGAGCCACAGCCGCGAAAGCCCGGGAGCTGCTCAAGGCGCGCAATGGGATCCCACAGTACTCCGTACCGCGGAGTTCGAATCGCCACGAGATCCATGTTGAGTACGGCGAGACAATACTGGGAAAAGGAGCATGCATTGCGATCGGCTTGGTGTGCCTGGCTTGCACTCGCGAACGCCTTGAGACGCCCGAATGAACTCTTGAGCCAGAAGCCGCCTTGAACGGGAGACTCGATTGGTGGCCTGTGCCAGCCGCCTCGGAAGCCAAGTGTTGAGATCGGCAGAGCCAGCCAATCAAGCATTGCGGGTGGGCAAGAGGACTTGGACCCTGAGAAAGACAGGTGGGAACTGGGAAGCTCATTGCAATGCAAATTGGAATGGCCCCTCGTCCCATATGCGGCCAAGACGAAATGCCGTCAGAAACCATGATGCCGTCTTCAAGTCACTGGAGACGGTTATGGCAAGCAGCCAGAGCGTCAGACAATACGTTGCTTTGTCCCAGCATACGAATCATCCTGATACCACGCCAGACAGCGGCTCTGGGCCACCCATTGTGTGGCTCAGCTGTGTTGTAGGCCATGTTCAAGAGGGCTTTGCCAAGCATCGGGAAGCTCCAATTCCGCTGGCGAAGCTGCCTGCTACTGCACCTCAACGGCTGCAGCTCACTTTTTGTTATGGTCGTCCATTGCTGCAGAATACCTACGTCAAGCGGCTGTTTCGTTTGTATGACAAACAACCAGCTGCATGCGAGGGCTTTGACGCCTCAGACAGCGCCAAGCGGCGCGACCACTGAAGATGATTTGGAAATGGAGAAGCTCTGGTGACGTTTGCTCCAGCGAGAGTGCGAGACCGCTATGTTTCTTCATGAACGACAATCAGCAAGCTAGGCGAGGCGATTCGTCCGAAATCGTTGTGCATTACTCGCCGCCTCGTGTTCGATGACCTCAAACCACACGGAACTTTTGGCATGCAAGTTGTAATCCCCCTCTGTTCGCACAAAGAACATTTGTATTTCCACAGCTCTGGTGATCCACAACCCCATCCCAATACGCGGGATAGCGTCTTTGTGTCTCCAGTAGAAGAAGTAAGCTTCTGTGCTTCTAAGTTCTGAGTTTCTGATGAGTCATATTACGCTGGCTTTGGATTTTCTCGCCCCTGGATCAAGCCTGCTAAGCTCGCAATAGACACCATTGGCCATTGCTTACAGATGCTTGCTATGAGGACTCATGTGTTGGGGTCATGCAGTTGCGTCGGCCATACCTAAGCCAGAGCTACTCTGAGCCGTCTGCCTCTATGGGTCTCCATCAACTCGACCACCCAGTCTATAAGAGAACTTTCTAAACGTCATTGTCAGTCAACGGCCCAGACTTTAGACGGGACAACTCCTGTGTGGACCATTCGTATCATCAAGATGGAACCATTGCCTTTCGATATCTCTGAATGACAAGTTTCAAGCAACTGCTCCATGAACTAACCCAGGATTACTGTACCAAAATGAATACGGATTCGGTTGACATCCCGAACCCTCGACATCCCGGGGTCGAATAAACTTGGGACGATGTCCGCTGGAAGGAAGGTCGGAATCCCGTCAACTGTGCAGCAGATCAACTCATCAACCTCGTCCTGCAATTCGGGCTTTTGCCGTCCCATCCAATGACGACGCGGTATTCTCCCGCAAAGTGTGGTGAAACACGAAATCAGTCGCTCCCATGACCGCCCGCCATCTACAGCCTGAAGTCTAGCCGGCGTCGCGGACATGTTTCAGATGCGCCATCAATCTGAAGGGGGGGGCATCTCGTTACAGATTTTCTCGCTTCACCACCACGACCGCTTCAGCTAAACTAGACGAAGGCACGCCGCACGACTATGAGGATTACTCACGTGAGCGCGTTTATCCCAGTTCATGCGCACTCTTTTCTCTTCCCCCTCTCGGGGAAGGGAGAGCGCGATTCAGGGTAAACATCGTAGGACCACCGCTGTCGGACACGTTGCGGAAGTTAAGATGACGGGTCCTGGCAATCGGACGGTCCCCCAGTCCCCCGGCTCTCAGCTTCCGTCGGTACGATGGATGGGCCGGCTTCGTTGGGCGCAGGACGTCCCCAGACCGAGCCTGTCACTCTCCTGCTCGTTGACGCTGTCACGAATTGTCACCTGTCGCAGACAAACCCGCACCCAGGGACAGGCCGGTTAGTCGTTGTTGTGCATTGCAGTTCCTCTCGCTATCGCCATGCGAGGCGATTTTTCGCCACACGACTAAACACCCGGAACTTGATGGTCGAGGCGAATCCCTCGAGTCACGATCGAACTTATCGGCATGCAAACGCATTCACAATGCAAGCTTTCGTCTCTTTCATGTCGTCCCTTGAGAGGAAGAGGGAGATAATCCCCCATATGAGACGCGGAGCCCCATGCCGTTTCAACGATGGGAGCGATCCCCAACGTTCAGCTGACAACCGCGACGAGCTAGCCTGTCTCGCAATGTTACGAGTGAGATGTCTCGTTCGATGATAGCCTCCACGTACTACTTGAGCGCATCTGATCATGCCGTCTCAAGACCCGGCTCATCGGCCCATGGAGGGACGGCTGAATAATGGCTACCCCGGTTACATAGGTCCTCAAGCGGACTCGCTGCTTGTCTGGGTGTGCCGGGTTAGGCAGGTTGGGGGCCGTGGGGTCCCGGATCGGGTCCAGTTCCTAGAAGATGAGGTCCCGGGACGGAACCAAACAGGCGGCGCAAGTGCCGTTCAACGACTGTATCCGGGATCATGTACCCACTTTAAGATGCGCCGGCATACCTGTAGCGACACCTGGAGATTCGATTTGTCCGGCACGTCGACTTTTACATGCCGTACTAACCCCGCGGTCGATAGTTACGACAGCGTTTTCGACACGGTCCATCTGTCGTCCAGTACGGAGACACTCCCCCATATCCTCCAGGTAAGGAAACCCAACGATGCCGCACTGCCGTCCAGTGATCTCGGGCATCGTTGACCACAGCAATACGCACTTCGTATTCAACATATCAGGCTGGGTCAAGTGATCCCACGGCCAAGTCAATCAAGCCACGCGTCCCGCTTCGGTCCCCGCCTTTACACAGTAATCTTCGGAGCCGTCGCTGTAGTGCAACGGAGCCCGCGTCCACCGAGATATTCCACAGTCTTCTTTGGGGGGCCGCATTCATTCTGATTCGTCTGCTCGAAACCTGCCTGCCTGCTCGAAAGTGGAGATTCGACTTTGTTAAGCAGCGAAGGAGGAGAGAGAACACCAATATTTCGGTCTTGGCCGGCGTTATCCGAGCCGTCCTCGCCTTGGATCATCACAAATCGTTTGGTGTTTAGTACCGGCCGCGACTTACAAGTTAGGAGGTATCCGTTATTGAAGGTACGCGCATCACACAAGGGTCTGTATCCGGCATGTCACAGGTAGAAGGCCTCAGGGACAACGCAGTGGTGTTTGGACATTGAACTTGTGGCACTCGATTGCTCAGCTAGCCGTCGATGACTGGTTCGTGTGGGTAGGTGTGCGTTTACGCGACCAGACGAGGCAATCAACTACGGTTCGCGTAGGGACTTCTACGCCAGGGGACCAGAAAGCATCAGAGAAACTGCGACGCCAAGTCAATCGTCCACGAGCCTCCGCGGTATCATGGTTCATGAGAGATACGGATGCCAGGGCCGAGCCGATCTGGGGCCTGAAAACTTGGCGATGGAGACTCGGCTCTTGCGGCCGATGGCGAACATCGATCACTGCTAGATGACCGGAGCAGCGGGGCGTTCTTCGAAACAGGAACCTTTCTCATCCCAGAAGAGATCATTCACTCGAGCGAAGAGATAACACATTCTACAGAAGTCGCGCACATATTGGTAGCAGGGTTCGCGGGAAGGTTTAGCAAGGGAGCACGCGATCAGAGACGATCATGAGATTCTTGGCCTTCTAGGTTCCCGAGGGAGCGGGCTAGGTTCCCGTCAGATCATTGTTCGATGTCTGCCTTATAACGATTGGCGAGACAACGACAGCTTCGCTGCGACAAACCTAGGAGCATGCTGCACAGGGGAAAGGAGAAAACGCTTCAGAAAGATGTTGACGTTATTGCGCAGAAACAAAGCCAAGCGGTTATATATAGCCTTCAGCCCTGCCGACACGGACGCCCCGTGGACGGACGGGCGAGCGTGCCTGGGGGAATCCAAAATCGTGACACGGCGAGGAAGAAATGTAACCTCACGGGCCCGAGGGGGACGGGGTTTTTGGTTTGGCGCCGTCTCAGATCTTGGACAGAGGTGATCTAGATTCTTCGAAACAGGGCGTTTCGGGGGTCTGAAAATAGAGGTGGTGTGCAATTGATAGATAGAATAGATGTAAGAATATGGTATCGTAAAATGATGGCGACTTACTCATTTACCCTGCTGCGAAGTCATTTAGTTCATTTAATCTATAGATTTTATCTCAAATCACCTTTCCGTCCTGCTTCACGTTTTTCCAAATGCGTGACTTTTGAAATTCTTATCTTTTCCAGGCCTTGTATCATTATCAATTAAACCCGCTAGGTAGAGTATTGCTATTTATATTGTTTACTCAAATCACCATGTTATAGTGTATAGCACTTTATCTGCGCTTCATGCGTGGAAATATGGTTCGATCTAGCCACGTGCTAACCTTGGGAAGCTGCGAGTGGTGTTTCGCGGATTGCTATCGTTCGAAGTGAACTGGACTTACTCATCTACCCTGTCACTCAATCTATCACTCATGCAGGTCCCATTTCGAAATATTCGCTGCTAATCATTCTGCCCACCGCCCAGAGGGCCCCAGAGGTCTCCCCCAAGACGGAGAAATTGTGGATCGAATGCGAGCAAGACTCAACGAGTCAACTTATCATGACCCCCCTTCCCCCCCGCCTTCGGGACGTCCGAATGCTTGTCCAGATCCGTTGACATGTCCGTTGACCGGCTCTCCGGGCTGGAGTCTAGACGACATGCCAGCCACCCTGTTGGAGCTTTGTCGCGCTTCGCGACTTTAGGGTTGGAAGTGAGGGTATCCGTGGGGGGGGGGCATGCCATCGCGTAGGGTCGGGGCGAAAGGTCATTTTCCTTTCCGCCATGCTACGTCTTGTCGCAGCTTGATATAATTTGGATTTCGCATAGTAACTTCCCGGGACGTTTGTCCTAGGATACGATGGTACCGCATGCTACCGCGATGGAGGGAAAGAAACGTGGTAAACATCTCCGCCATCATGTGTTTGGTCGAGTAGGTTCAACATCGTACACCAGTCTCTGTGTCATTACGCTATTGAGGTGAGAGCAAGCCATGCATTTTCACGCCGGGGTTCAAGGCCGATGAAGGAACGCACTATCTACATGTCTACATGAAATATTGGCGTGATATGTACGAGATATTTGGGTCCATCTGTAAACACACGAGTCTGCCTTTCTCACGCTCACTATCATGAAAGATAAAGTCTCGTCTAGACAGCGTTATAGCCAAAGTAAGTAGTAGTGAGACGGAGTGAGCTCCATACGAGCCGTGAATTCTAGACAACATATCGCGTGAGCTCGAGCGAGTTTGCGGCAAGCATTGAGACCCAAGGCCAATCCACTCCTGATAGTCAGTATCTCAAAAGCAGTGGTGTTCACAAAGAGGACACAGATGGCGAAAGGACTGTACGATGAACTTGGAAAAGCGGCCGTCATTTCTGAATATCATCATACGTATCTCTCTATCATGACATATATCCAAGCACCGCTTTCGCTAGCCTTCGCTTTCTCATCAAACTGACCATCCTCACTTATAAATCATGAAAAAGAAAGTTCAAAATCCATCCCAGCGGCGTCGTACCGTCTCATCGTATCAAGAAACCTGTAACGCCGCGAGATCAAAATCGCTGATATCATCTCCAGACATGTATCCCTCACAAATCAAACAAATAACCTCCCAAAAGAATATTCCAAACAATCAATCCAAACATACGGTACCAGAAAAATAAGTCCCGAGTCAAAGACGACAACAACTGAGGCTTCACCGCCTGTAGTGATAGTCATTGTACTCTCTCTCTCTCCTCCGATCGGAGATAGTGACCCTCATCCTCTCCTCTTCAGGCGGCGGGGGCGGCGGCAGCATCCTGGGTGGCGAGTACCTCCGGCCCTCGACGTACCGGAACGTCTCGTACCGCGGCTCAACGGGGACGGGGACAGGGTACGGCACCCGCACGGGCACAAGCTTCTCCCGCTCAACGTACACCTCCCTGATATCCCTCTCCCTGTCGCGGCTGCCTCTCCGTGAGTGGCTATGGCTTCTCGACCGGCTGCTCCTGCTCGACTTGCTGCTCTTCACCGAGGGCTCGACATCGACTGCGATGACCTCGATAGGGGGCAGGGGCTCCGGGACGACGACAACGGGTGGCGGCGGCGGGGGAGGCGGAAGGGGCAGAACAACGGGTGGCGGGGGAGGCGGAGGGGGCTTGACAATCACTGGCGGCGGGGGCGCGGGCTTGACGATGACAGGGGGCGGGGTGGGCTCGCGGGCCGGGATGAAGGTGGTCTTCTTTGTGCGGACGGTGACGGCGCCGTTGGTGGGGGGTTCGAGGTAGAGGCGCTTCTTTGCGCCGTGGTGATGGTGGTGGCGGTGGTGGTGGTGATACTCGTAGTATTCCTTGGACGATGCTGTACGATGCATGGTCAGTCATTTGTGTTCGTGTAGACCTGGCGCGAACGTTGCGACAACGTTGACGTCAGGTGTTTTGGGGCTTACTCGTACCCATTTTGGACGGCTGGATTCGTGCCAAGGGGATTTTTGAACGTATAGATGTTTCTGACTGTGCGCCTTTCGGTGGCCTACACTTTTTAAGGTGTGACTGTCGCGATGCCAAGGGTGGAAGTTGGTTGGTGTTTTGATTATTTTGGGTTGGTTTTGAGTTGGGGGTGGGCGGGTAGACGCAGGATGCGTCGTGAACCCAAGGATGGGATGAGGTGTCGTGTGTGTGTGTTGCGTTTTGCGACCCGAGGGATGTGCGATATGCGGGAATGCGATCCGCTAGAAGACCGTTTTCTTTGCGACCGAAGTGATGTGCAGAGCGCAAAGACTGGGTGAGGGAAAATCAGATGCTGATCACCTGGCGCGGGGCAGGCTGGTCTTTTTCTCTACCTAAGGTCGGTAGGTCTAGGAAAAAGGGGAACCAGTGGCGAACGAACGGGTGGGAGAGAAGGAAGCGTTGGAGCTAAGTAAAGGTGTTGGAGCGTCAAATGTCGGTAAGTCGGCGGCGGCGGTTGTAATTGTGGTTTGTGATGGGAATGAGAAGAACGGGGAGCGGACACCTTTCGTCTGGAGTGTTGGGTGGGCGGGAGATGCGCTATTCATATAACACTCGTCTTACACACCAACGAGGGACACCAACGAAGTATCCGTAAGAAAAGTCTAGGCCTCTCTGGCTCGGCTGCAAGGTAAGGTATGCACGGGGGTGGGAAGGAAGGGGGAAGAGGAGTTGGCAGATGGCAGATGGCATGTTGAATCAAGGTCCTCGTCGCTTTCCGTATCCGTAGAAGGGGGGACACGAGGGGGTGGTGACTGGGCCTTGCCTTCCTTGCCCGCCTGGGCAGAGTGACAGCCTACCTTACCTGCCTGGCAGTTGCCCCTCCTTTTGCCAACCAACTAATGGGAAAACACCAAGAAATTGGCCTGTGAGAGAGCTGTGCGGTATTATCATGCCCGGTGTGTGTGTGTGTGTGTGTGTGTCAGCCCAAGGTTACCAGCCCGCCTGCCCAGCGGGAAGGGGACATCCAGGCAGGCCGGGCTGCCTTGCATCTCCGCCTTCAACTCTCTTCCACTCGGGATCAACTATCCGTACTAAGCCACAACCAAGCCAGAGGAAGCAAACCCGCCTAACAAGCACATGGACGATGAAGCTACGAATTACACTACAGCCCACAGCAGATCCGGGACGGGAGCGCCGAGATGCCAGATGGACGCACATCAGAGTGGATGTGAACATGCACGGGGATGGAGAACCAGAGACTCGAGACTGGAGATTCGAGAAGAGAGAGAGAGGCGCATGCAAAACACAGCCTGGACGGGTCTTGTTTGACATGCAGATAGATGCAGAGTACAATCATTCGTTGAGCATTCATTGGGTAAATGGTATCTAATAGGTACTATGCAGCAAACTCCAAATCCCAAACTCCAGATGGACCACCTCATGCAATTCCAACCTTTTCACGCCAGTGCCAAGTTCAACCCAACATCCCCTTCCATACAGGTTGATTCCCTTCCCTTCCGCCCCCCCTCCTCCCGTGCTTCAAGTCGCTCCTTCTGTGCTTCACTCCCGCCCTCGCTTGGGAGGGGAGGTGGGAGGCTGTCACCTGGCACTTCCTTCCCATCGTGTGGCAGACAAGGGTGCGCCATTGGGCAATTGAGGCCTTATGACGCCAGCGGGCACGTCACGCCAAAAAATCAAGTTAAAATTCCGAGGCGGTCGGCCATTCGGTACGTACTCCGTACATTGACCGGTCGCTGAGGTAGGCACGCGGCACGTCCCCCCTCCCCACTCCTCCCGGCCTCGGCCGCCAACTTCCCAACCACTCAGCTGCTCAGAACAGAGAAGTTTCTCTCTCCAAACTTCCAAACCTTCCAAAGAGCTAAAGCTGGCAAGAGCTTGGCGACATGCTCCCTCCTTGATCGCAAACCGCCGCACCAGCAACGCCAAAGAGAAGGGAGCAGAGCTTCCAGACCACTCATTCGCTCAAAACACCATAGCCGCCCTGCGTTGCGTCTGCACTCTCCATGCACGCTCTGCACTGCGTCCGGCACCTGGTGCTGCCTGTCAACCTGCCCGTCAGACCGGAAAAATCAAGGATGTTGTCGTTGATACCTAGTTACTCCGGATCGTGCATCGCTGCCACTGTGACCCTTATCGCCCGAAGCCCACCGATCTCAACAGCTGGGGATGCCAGACCACAACCGGGGAATCTTCCAAAACGCTTCCATCCTTTGGCTTCCCCCCCATCTGCGCCATCTGCGCCATCTGGGGTCGCCCCTGATCGTGGGGTTTGCAGGGCTGAGCTTGTCAGATTGGGTTTTGTGGTGAGCTGGCAGTCGCACGTCTCCGCTCCATTTCCTCTCGTCCCAACCTCTCTTTCTCGCCCAAGCGTAGCGTCTGTGTCCGGCTCTGTTCGTTGGGCTGCCAAGGAGGGAGACAATATTTCCTCCGTCTACTTGCTCTCCTCTGCAGAAAAAGGGAGCACTTTTCGATGCCCTATGCCGGTAGACAAGTAGCAGAGGGGCTAGCTGGCCTCAAATCTCCGTTGAGCGCCCATCCCACGATGCCAAGCCGATGAACCAACACCGATTCCCAATCCATCGATCGTCTCCATCCAGCCGGCGCAAAGTGGCAGCCCAATCTTTGACCTGCCTTGGGTGAGTGTGTTTGGTGATTCCTGAAGTAGACGGCAGTCGAAAATCTAGACCCAGCCACTTCCGCAAAGAAGACCCTTGCACCCGGGGTCCTGGCTCCGCCTCGGGTGCCCCCGAGCTTCCTGGCTTCGATCCAAGGAAGTTACACTTGTCAGACCAGGGACGTAACGTAGTGTATTACACAGTAGGCTACCGGTAGGTATTGGTGTCGTGTTGTCCTTCAAGTGCCGCGGTATGCGTCGTGCATCTCACGTCCGGAGGCTTCGTCGTCTATCCAGCCGCCTCGTAAAGCTTTGCTTGGCCGACATTGGTCGACTGTACACGGCCCGCGGAGCATTAATGACCTCGATACCAGCATGCTGCTGGTAGCTAGGCTTCTCGGACATGTCCCCACCACCATACGAAGCAGGAAACTGTGGACTGAGTCTGTCGTCGCCTCGCACTTTCCTGAGCACCCAGTTGACGAGGTGTCCCATCTCGCCCATCCACCACAGACCCAACACAATCGTCAGGATGGTCACGGGTATCGCGGTGGCCCAGTACAGCCACTGCCCGGCCTCCATGTCTCGGATATCGCTAGAGTTCATCCCGAAGACGCTCGAGACGGCGCTCAGAGGCAAAAAGATGATGGTGACAATGGTGAAGGCATAAATCGCCTGCTCCTGGCGGTCCTTGGTCACCGCCGCATTGTTGAGGTTCTAGTTTACCCGTTAGCGTCCCCATCCCAGAATGCAAAAAGTCACAAGCGGCCTCGAACACCACTCACCGTCTGTTCCAAAACGTCTGCTTGCTCAGCATACTCTTCAAAGTCCCTGATCCGCCTTTCCAAGAGCTGCGTGCACTCCGCCGCCAGGAGATCCCTGAAGCCAGCCGCATCTGTGGACGGAAGCTTGTAAAAGTCAGACACCTCTGTACTGGCAGCCATGGCCATGGGCTCCAGCAGCACCTGCACGTCTTCGTCATCGGCGGCGTGTCTGCCGCTACTTCTGCCCATCCGCATGTGAGAAGCCTCACGGTAGTTGGCAGCGGCGACTTGAGTTCGAGCCGAACGGTGAAGCTTTGCTGCTGCGGATGGACCTTCTTGACGGGAGGCCAGGATAGAGCTAAAGACGTTGTTTTGCGCAGCGATTGTGCGATTAATCACGCTTACTTCCTGTCGCAGAAAGTTGATTCGCTGCTGGTAAGAAATATCCGACTGCCCGTTTGCAATCTCATTTTCCTGCCCGCAATGTTAGGGCATGATACAAAGTAAAAGTCCACAGAGTACGAGGCACTCCAAACTTACCAAGGCTCTAAGGTACTCTGAATAAGTGTCTGTAATTCCCGCATACTTTCCAGACGTGTTAGACAAGAGGCCGTAGCTCATCAGGGACACCACCTCGAGCGGGAGCACGGAAGACCGTTCCAGCAGGTTAAGACTTGACAGCCGTTCCATAACGTGCTTCATGCCGCTCTTGACCAACGCATCCGCCACTTCCAGATGGTCTTCCCACATGTGTGTCTCGTGACTCGCGTAGATCAGGCCCATGACCAGATGAAGCCAGGCGCGGATCAGCTCCAGCGGAACGTCGATATCCAGCCGGTCCGTAGGTTCGGCGTGGGACAGGATGCTCTTGAAGGCGATGACGGGAAGGGCCATTTGGCGCAGTGCTTTTCTGACCGTAGGGGCATTTGCGTAGACAGCTGCAAGTCGTGTCTTGTCAAGGTTATTCGGATGAGACTCGCCCTCTGTGGCCTCGGGCTGAGGGATCTGAAGACTGTTAGCATCCATTAGGGGGCTATGAGACCAATGATAGACTTACTGTGACCAAGTTCATCACAGCACCCCAGAACCTCTCTGTAGTCGGTCCATCAAACAAAGGAGGCAAGAAGAATCGGAACAAAGAGTCAGCCGCATTGAAAATGTCAACACGCTCCTCATAGTCCTGATTCTTCCACGACTTCTTCGTGTCCTGCATCCGCGCCCCCTGTTGCTCGAGGTACCCAAACACCTCATTTCTCGTCGACATCTCAGCCTCTAGGTACGCCCGCCGATCCGGCCCGTTGGTCTCGGCCGTCAGGAACTCCTCGACTTCGGACAGCTGTTTCTGGAGGACGATAAAGTTGGGACCTTCAAGGGGGCTGGGCGGGTTTGCTTCGGCCCAGCTGAACACGTGAAACATCTCGTTGTTCTTGTTGAACTGTCCCGGCGGGAAGCTCATCCGGTTTCCGCCTGAAGATCTGGGAAGCTGTAGGCTGTTAGACGCTTGGCCAGCGTTGCTGCTCAGGCCTTGTTTGAGAGGTCTCAAGATGCCGCTTGGCGGTAGTTGTGGTGGTGTACTAGAGGTTTATCAATACGAGGCTCCTCTTCTCGAAGCGAGTTCATGCACACTTACCACGTTTCCATATTGATCACGACATTCCTACGCGAAGTCCTCGCGAACTGCAGCACCTTCCACCACCGCGTTTCCGTTAATAGACGACCATTGAAGTGGAAACGGACCGCCTTTGGCCAAAAATCGGCAAAGTGCGTAATGAAAGCAA